CAACTTTGGTGTAGCCTAGAGAATGTCACTTACCTGCTATTCTTCCAATTGGCATCGCATGGTCCTCAGGAGGGGATACAGACACCATGATGTGGTTCATATAAGCTAACTCTTCTCGGTGGGACAGGTTGATTGGCTTTACCTCCCTGTGCAGCCCATCCTCAGACAACCTTGGTTTGAAATCGGAGTGCCTGGGGTTCAATATCAAAGGATGCATGATAGGGCTGGGCATCAGCTGGATGACCCTGGTGTTCTCTTGGCGAGGGCTGGAGGGCTTCTGGAGCACCTCAGAAGGAGGCGGGCAGTGGTTGTTTTCTATGGGGGACACTGAGAGAGGATAGGGCTCCTGGTGGTTGTTCTCTTGCTGATGCCTTGTCCCCGGCACCCTGTCAGCTGGGGAGAGGCGACGAATAGTGTTGTCCATAGGGGACTTCAGTGGCCGCTGATCGGGATCTGGTGATGGACGGTGGTTGTTGGTGACAGGTGATCTAGAACGATGCAACAGTTCAATGGTTGGGGGATTGTGGTGGACTGTTTCTGTGGATGGTCTTGAAGGTCTCTGGACAAAGCTATCTGTGGAGAAAAAAAAAAAACAAACAAAATTACAGATTGTCTGTACTGTGATCAAGGCGTAGGATCTAACTGTCAAACTGTTAGCTGGGCCTACCGGGTACTGCTGTCAGCTTGGAAATGGTTTTATTTGTGTGACCTACAGATGCCCACAAAAACGCCATATAAAAGCAGATAGTTATTACTACGCAGGATGAAATCAGTACCATAAAAACAATCTTCCTCCACCACCATGTAAAGACAGTGAGCTGTACTAACTGTGTTTCTGTGCAAATGCTTTGAAACTTATCCTGGCATTCATGCCTCTGCATGTGGCTCCTGTTACTGTACCACGATGAGCACTGTAAGGTAGAGGGTGGAGATAAAAGGGAAAATGTCTCCAGGAAAATGCTGGGTAGTAAGTTTTAGATGGTGGAGGTTTGGGTCAAGGTAGAGAATATCTTAGTCTGAAATATGGACTGGGTTATCTAAGAAAACCCACTGGTAGTAAGCTCTTTGTGAAACACTAGCTAATTTTTGTCCCTGCCTTGACTTTAAGAGCGTGTTAACATCTTCATAAGGATATTTTCACCTTGTTTTATTTAGTCTGTGCTGTAGTCTAGTGATGGGCTGTCCTATATAAGCACTTATGTTTCTCCAGCAGGAGGACTTCTAGCATCACTTTTGCATGAGCATACTTCCCCAGCTGTGATCCATAGCAGTAGGAGGGAGATAAATCACGGCTCTAGGTCAATGTCTTTACGTACTAACAATCCTCTCACAAAATGAAATGTTTGACATAAACAGTGCAAACTTGCAGCTTAGCTAAGGCCATCAATTTTGACTTGGGAAATTCCTGACAAAGAGGAAAATACCACCAGAGCGTAGTGACTAACAGGCTTTTATCTGAAAAACAAAGATCAAATTTCAGTGCTGTTTGTTGAAAGCCTTGGATGATAAGAGAAGGAAACTGCTGGGTACATGTCAACAACTGAAACTAGTAGCTGCCTATTTGTGGCTGCCTGTTTGTTCACTCCATTTGCTCTGATCCTCTTTAACAATCCTCTTGCTCTCTTGTCAAGGCAGTGATACTCCTTGAAGATGTGGTCAAGGTGAAGACTCAAGGGCTCCCAGTACCCTGGAACTCAGGCAGGCATTAGGAGAGGGATTAGCACTCACCCAGGGAAAGGCCTGAACAGGAAAAGCTCTAGTCCTGAGAAAACGTAGTGCCAGACAGTGACATAACACCAAACCTTTTGCCTACTCAATAGGCTGTTCATCTATAAAAGGATGATAAAGTCTACAGGAAAACCTGAAATTTTAGGCAGAAACTATATGGCTCCAGAACACTTATTTCACACACTTGTGGTCCCAGACAAGAAAAATGCATTCATAGAGCTATTTAAGGTACTCACAATGAAACAGCTGGAGGACATGAAACTCCAGAGCGATATATTGTTCTTGTTTAAACCCAAACAGCTTTAAATACAACGTGGCCAGCTAATGTGGGATAGCCCAAATGATATGAAGATCAAAGAGGAATTAATTTACAACTGTACCTATCTCTGTGGCTGTCTTAAAGTCTCCTTTCTTTGCCACAACAGAAAGGAAACCAACCCCGACAACTTTACTCAGCATCCTATCTTCTACAGACCATCCACCCCATCACCGGACATTCAAATGCACTGTGCTCCTTCTTGGCCTGTAAATGTAGACTAGAATATTGTATTGTTTGTCCTACTTATTTAAATCGCCTTCAAAGCAGAAAGGAATGCCTTGCAGTGCTTTCTACCAACATTACTTGGCTCTGACAAGCTCCAAACAGAAGCAGACCTATCTGCCTGCTCCCAAACCATCATGATCCTGAACCAGGACAGGGTGGAGAGAAGGTAAGGGCCAAGGAACTCTTTAAAAAGCAGCAAGAGGAAAAACCACAAATGGATGAACTAGTGTTCACTTTCCTCCATTTTCTCTTTAAATACTTAACTAAAGAATCACCTCATGGCTGAAGTTGCTGTTTACCATAAAACAATTCAAACTCAGCTCCAAGCAGTTCCACTGCCATCAAAGACCCTGAACAGAATAAAATCCTCATCACATTAATTCCTTGGCACATCTGATGACTGTAAGTTGAGCACATATGGTATATCATTTCCTGCAGATTCACTCACCAGTCTTGTTCTTCATTCTTAGTGACCAACACTCTTTTCTTGAAGGGAAAGCTGTGGAAGATAATTCAGTTCCCAGGAAAATTGCTGACCTATCTGACCCATATAGGGATGGGTGAGGCTGCACTCACTCTGGGAGTGAGCAATTGCTGGTGTGACATTCCTAAAGATTGGCACTCTTTGCTTACCCATAAAAGTAGTGCAGGGAATGACAGTGTAAGCTTCCTGTATGGCACCACATCAAATGACTCAGTGCTGAGTCAGAAGGACCACTGGAGTTCTAGGTAATTCACTCTCCATTGCTCATCCCCCTCTACAGGGACAGAGACCAATTCCCACAGGGCAGATTCCAATCCAATGCCAATGCATCTTGGAGATATCCTGAACCACTGTCAACTGATTTCAGTCAAACCCACGTTGCTTAAGCCAGTAAAAAACCACTAGGTGTAAATGTTGGTGTCATCTGATTCTGGATTAACTAACTTAAAATGGAACTATTTAGAAGCATAGAAGTATATACGTGTAAGTATACAATCTATTAGGAAACGAGCAAAAGAACCAGTAGAAGAAAATGGAGAAAGATCACTGGAGGAAGGAGGGATTCTAAAGAAGATGGATGTTTAACTACTCAAAATTGTGCCAAAGTAACATTTGACCCCTCTGTTACAGTTTGTGAGCTAGGCAGGGTTAAGTTCTGCTTCTCACATACATTCTCCTTTTCTACTAAGCTGCATCCTGCTGAGGGAAAATGGTAAACTTAATTGTGCTAGTTTCTCCCAAGTGACTCTGTGAAACTGGAAGAAGAAAGAAGGAATGTCAAAATACATAAATAAATAAATTAATTTGCCTATAAATGGTTGGCACAGAGACTTCTTGAATGCTCAGAGTCTTGTGGCAGGCAAGCTGTAGTTTCTTTTGCTTGTTTTGAAGTTCCTCTCACAGCAAAACAAGAGCTAATTTTTGTCATTATAAAGAAAAGGTTTAAGTAATATAGCCCAGAGTTCTCTAAGCAAAACCAGCGGTACTATCAGCAGCCAGAGGATTGTGAGGAAGAAGTAAAAAGTTGTTTCTTAATCATCCTGTGCACTGACAGAAGATGGACTAGATTGCAAGGACTTAACGTTTTAAGAGATGCACATGAAAGGCCAACTCAATATCCCTGTGAAATCTTCTCTAGAGTGAAAGTTGCTTTGTATATTCAATGTAGGGGTGTCTGAGAGGGCAGCTAGTATTTCTGCTTGAAATGTAGAAAGGGAACACTTGTGGGCAAGCTTCAGGAAAAAATGGAGATTTTATAATGGTCTCTGGAAAGTGCCCATCTTAACACACTAGGCAACTGTCTCTTGCACAACTCTGACCTGTAGCACCCTCTTCTAATGTGAAATATTTACACAGCTGTGTGGAAACACTTTGGAGTGTCCTTATCCCACCTGCTGCCGTCCTGCTCTTGGCTTTGTCTCAGAGTTGTGCTACTGCCATTTGATTCTGGCTTGCTCAGCCTGGCCATGGGCAACTTGTACAGGTCTGACAGTACCCCTGAATCTTCCTGTGCAATCCCATGTTGAATCTTGAAATAATTTGTGCATCTTTTCTCCAGTTAGCAGAGACTAGGGTGATATCCTAACAATTGTTCTCTTCTCCTGTTTACTTAAAAAAGGAATAACACTACTTTTTCCTAGATTTTTTTTTTAATTGAAAAAATGAATTTTCTCTGATACTTTCATGGAAAGGATCTTTTAAAAGGCTTAGGCTTTATATTTTTCTGTTATTGGAGAAAACAAAGAAATACTTTAGTGTGTATATTTTTAAAGAAAATAAAACCTCAATTTTCCATTGAAGGAAGCACACTTACATTTTGATCTGTACTAATAATGAGTAGAAGTCCAAATCTGCAATTCCACAAACATACCTATTCTTTCTTCACCACCTCTAACAGGCACAGTATGTGTGGACACTACTAGAAGGCTAACTAATAATCTAAGCAAGTAATTCTGATAGTAAAAATGAGAGAAAATCTGCAGAAAAAACCTTCTCTCAACATGAATTGCTCCATCAGCTCAAAAGCTGAGCAACAAGATGGGCTCAGTGCTATGAACTCTGGCATGATGCGATGACAGACTGTCAGCTTTGTGTGACTTTGAGTTAGATGTTCTTCTCTGAGGCTGCCTTCTCCCTTGCTCTGCAAACAACTGCATCTAGTTGCTTCTCCAGGATACTGAAAGTCCATAAACCATCTTTGTCTACCAATTGGGAGTGAGGAAAAATGCATCAATGGGGTCAATAAAACTTTCTGGTATTTTTATAATCTGCATCTGGCATAGCTTTCAAACAGGCTTTGGAAACAGGACAAAATAATAGAAGACAAATGGAGAATGGACAGTTGACTCCCTAGACCAGTTCTTAGATTGTTCTAAGGCTATGGAGACAAAGGGAGGAGAGTAGCTTTATTTAAGTAACTTTGCAGCAAGAAAATAACATAAATCCTCACAGCCTTACCCTACTCGCCTCTATAATGGCAGCCCCCATAAGAATGAGACAGAGTTACCTTCATCATGATTCTGGTGTAATATGACCTCTGGCTGAGCATGGATAGAGTTCCCAGGGTGGAAGAAAGGGGTGAAGAGCATACGAGCTTTTCTTTGCTTCAGGATATGCTGAAGGAGTTCATACAAAACATCACCTGAAAGACAAACAGCAGGAAAAAGGAAATGAAAACCTACATACTGCTGAGAAGACTCATTTAGCCATCTGATGCATGAATTCATGGCTCCTGGGTGCTATTTTCAGCCCCAAAAATGCCTGCAGTAAAATCCTACATTTCACTGTTTTGCAATGTTCTTCCCTGAAAGGAAAAAAAGAAAAAGAAAAGCTGCACATCGTGCCTCTGTCTGTGACTGTGGAAAAATGGGAGAACAACAAGACATGGCTTTTATTACCCCAATACAGAATTTTTTCAGGTTACATGACTGCCCATCCAAGAGTTCCAAACCTTCACAAGCCGTAGTTAGTTCAGTGTCCCACCTTCTCTCAGTTTTTTAGAGAGACACCTTAGGACACTGATTTCTTAAATACAAAGCCCATGATTTATGCAGTGAGTTGCTGGGAGCAAAGATGGTGCTCTTCTTTAGTTACTGAACAATTTAGGCTTTATGGGGGAAGGAGACAGAAGATGCTGTAAAGCCTTTCCATGCAACACTGGTGTCTCAAGCCACAGGCAGTGTGCTAGTAAGATACCCCATTCCAGGAAATCCACAGGAGGAAGAACTCTCAATTTGAGAAGTTACTCTGGGATGGACTCAAAGACTTGAAAAGAATTGAGAGATTTAACTATCCTGAACCCCCTTGCTATGGTGGCAACTCCTGGGTACACGTGAGTGCTATAGGTGCCTTAGGAACTTCTGTAGGTCACTCTTGGTGTCACAGGCTGGACTCCTGAAAAGCTCAAATGGGATCCCAGAGCTAGTTATTTCTTGCTACTAGAATCTGTATGGAGCTCACTGCAACAGGCAATATTAGACCACGGATATGATGCAGACTAAGGAACAAAATGCAGCGGACTTGGTGCTCTGTATGGGCAATATAGTCTGTTGCTATTGTATCACTCTTCCATAGAAATGTCTGCAGCAAATTGCACTGCACCAAGCTGACGTTCTTGGGTGAACTGATCCAGGTGCTTGTTTCTTTCTGGGGTGCAGGCAGGCTGTTCCCCATTCCCTGGCACCAGAATTGTTATTTCTTCCCTCAGTTGACCATATCACCAAAATATCCAGGAGTCCAATGGACCAACTGCTTATTTTGTGTGGTTTTATGTATCACATCTGGTACTGATGCACTTCCTCCAACAACACCTACATGAAGCACCTAGGTACTTATGTATTTTGTCTGATGTAACTGGTTGCACGTTTCAAAGTGAAAACGTACAACACAGGGTAGGAAGTCTCTCGTCTTTTCACTCTGCTTGCTCTCTTCTGTTTGTCACAGCTTGTATTATAGAGGAACAGGTTGCAGCAGCAACATACTGTCTGAAAAGGAACACAGTGAAGTTTCACTTCAGAAACCTTGGATTTTCTGGGAGGGTTTTCTCAAGTGTGTGGGGTTCTTTTAGTAGTTTCTATGAGATTGTAAGGTGTGCACTATTTGTCCCTTGTCTCTATAAACTGCCAATGCTCCATTTGTGGGCAAGCTTAGTGTCTTAGTGTGAAACAGTTACAGCCATCTTGCTTTCCATAGCTCATCTTCCTTTATTTTTAGTATCTTGGCTGCTTTTCTTGTCTCAGCAGTGACTTTAGGGCATTTTTAAAAGGTGATTGCAATACTTGAAAATCTAATTAAAAACAAAGCCTCGAGAACCCAGTTACCTTTTCCGTGTTTAGTACATGAAAGGCTAAAAAGTGCTTTTACCACATAATTTGCATCTTTGAATGCAATAGTGGCATAATCATAACTAGTGCTGTAACACTCCAAGCAATAGCAAATAGCAAATTTGTACCTCTTGATTTGGCCTGACAGACTAGTGAAAATGTCCATAAAACTGGCTGTCTTCTTTTCATCTAACAAAGCAGTTCTACTTCTGCACCACCCAGATGTAGTAAAGCTAGTTAAGAAAGTAGAAAGCCTTTTTCACTCTCCCCCTCCTTTGCTGTCTCCCATCCCTGGCCAGCCCTAAATAGGAAAATAGCTGTGGGCGGTGAGCCCACTTTATTGCTAGGAGTGCTGCGGGGAGTGGATGCTGTTCTCCTGGTTCAACCATGAGGGGAAAGGATACAGCTTTTATGTAGCTACACTCTGCAAAAGCTTAATGCCTCTATGGCAAACATTATTTCATAGTTCTTAAAATTTCACAAATAGTTAATTTCTGGGAAATGTTGAGGTAACGGCTCTTTAACTATAGTCATCTAAATTTTTAAGCATTGACTCAGATACCCTCTAAAAGGTTTATTACCAGTGGGGAACACCTGGAGAGAAGGAGGAGAGAAAAAGCAAGGGAGGAAGTCTTTGGTTTGGTAATTTCATTCCAAATTTAGGTAAATAAGAGCTTAACCTTCTGCATAAAGTGAGGATTTGCAAGCTAGAGGCTCTTCTCTGGGCATGCTCTACTTCCAGCCTACAAACATTTTAATTCTACTCAATTCAAGTGCCCTCACAGCACACAAGGGGAAGAGCAGGAGTATAACTTAGAGGCAGCAAGGCACTGGGATAATAAGGGGAGCTGTAAGCAAGATAGACAAAGCTGTCCCTTACAGTCCTTGCCCACATCCTCACTTTCAATACTCCTTTTGCCTTAAGCAGGGATCTTTTTTAATGAAATCATTCGAAGTGGTGTACCAGAGTTAAAAAAAAGATGTTTTGAGGCATTGGTTTTCACTACTGTATTATCCTGGCAATAGACATTAATGTTAGGCATCTCCTTCCACACAAAATCAATCCCGGATTTGAAGGACATGCGGAAAAATCTTTGTGTACACTAAACATAAGCCACTGCTTGTGAGGCCGATTCTGCAGGAGTAGTGGGGGTGCACTCAAGGGAGTCGCAAAGCAGCTTGATGGAGAGTTAGTGCCACTGCGTGTTTACCAGCTGGATCCAAGCAGCACCAGCTGTACTTCTGCACCTAGCAAGCCCTGTGCTGGAAGCCTCCTCACAGCAATTCTGTAACCGCTTGGTCCAAACTCTTTGATCATCTCTAGTGACTGAATTACAAGCCTTTACATTTAACAGGACTACCTTGTATGGTTACAAAAGAAAAGCTCACAACTCTTATTTACAACCAATAACTCATATTTAGTTAAACATCCCTGACAAAGGAAGGCAGAGGCTTACTTTGACTGTAAAACTGAAGCAGACAGACTGCAGGGGATATAAATACAGGCAGGCAACATATACATTTCTAAAACTTCATTGTGAATAAATGAAGACATAATTTGAGCAATAGGAAGACTGATTCACACACCTGTTTGTGCTGTGCCCTGGGCTGGTCTCCAGCACGTGAGAGAATATGGTAAAGCAAAGCAAAGCCCACAGGGACTGTAAAATAGAGGAAAGGTCCCCCAGGGAGGAATTTTGCAGTCACTTTTAGCAGCAAGCCAAGCCAACTGTGAGGCAGAATGCTAATACGGGTTTCTTAAAGAGGCTGGAGCACTTGATTAACTTGCTGCTGTAGTTGGGTCTGTGAAAAGATAAGCTTTTACAGGGAAGAGCTGGAAGTCACAAAGTGCTGTCAGAGAAGCTTGCTTTCTGGGAGTTCTGCGGGGAGTTTTAACTGGAAACAGGTTGGATGTTTGGGTTTGGGTTTGGATTTGCATTCAAATTTGCCTACAACTCAGATGTATCAGGATTTCATTCCCTCCTTGTTCTTTTTGTCCTTGCTTCATGCAAGTGCCTCTGTCCTCCCTCTCCTCCCCTTGCCCAGTCCACCCCGACAAATGTGACTGTTTCCTCCTCCAACCCTTTCCAGATTTCATTGCAGCTTCTTCTCTCTTTCCAATCACAGCTTCTGTAGTAATCCTCACCTGAATGAGGAGACCTGTATCGAAAGTCCTCTTTGGTCAGGAGCAGCAGAGCCTTGCCGTTCATCTCAAAAGTGTTGCTCTCAATTGGCCTCAAGGAAAACTCCTTCTCTGCCCACCTGAGCCACTGTGCCACATCATCCCTGCTCCAGTAAACGGGCTGCAAACCTGTGGCAGGAAGAAACCATGAGTGAGTTACCAAATTGAGACAAGGCATGGGAATATATGCAAATGTCAGTGAATCCCCCTTTCTCCCCACGCTGTAATGTGCAAAGTCGCAGGGGAAGGTGTAGGAGAGGAACGTCATGTCGACACAGAATTTCTCTAGCACTGGACTGTGAAATACTTCATTAGTTTAGGCACTTTGGTTTATTTATGACATGTTGAGAAACAAGAACTGCCTCAGCATCCTGAAAAAAATTTCTAGGCCATTATTTTATTCCAAGTTTCCACTATGAAATGGGATTTTCCTCCAGCTGCTCCTTTTGGGGTGCAAAGCAAGCAGGAGTCAAAGTCCTTGGCCCCATCCATCCTCGGTGCGTATTCCTTCATAAAAGAGAGGTGTGCTCTCTCTTCCTGCCCCTTGTAAAGTCATTGATCAAGAATAAAGAAAAGTAGTCAGATGCAAGAGAGCTCTGGCCATACCTCCCTCTAGATGCCTGGGGTCTGTAAAGAAGGGGAGCTCCACACAGCCTCTGTAACTGTGTCTTTAAGTGGGTACCAGTGCCGGTATGGTTGAGAAAGGTGCGTTCAGACTGGCCCACCCCTGCTGCAGATGCCGCTATGTTAGCAGATGCTATTCCCTCAGCTGGAGAGGAAAATAAGCACTGAGGCTGTGGCAACTTTAGTATTGCTTTATCTTGTGTTTTCTGTACAGTGATAAAATATTACCAATGTAACTCTGTCCATATAAGGGTGATATGCCATTTTATAGTAAAATAGCAGGTACATTCACTTTGGGCACAGATTTCCCAGGGCTCCAAGAAGAATCCGGCACTCCTTTTCTCCCAGCCAGCTCATACAGCCTAGATCTGTTTATTCACAGGGGCCCAACCAAGCTACCATGAAAATCAAAGACCTTTTCCCTCCTACCTTTACTGGGCCCAGGCAGAGAGGCTTGGGAGGTGTGACAATTCAGTATCTGTTTTACAGAAAAATTTAAAAGAGCTTCCTTCCCCTGGAGAGAAGGCAGCACAGTGAAGAGCTGTTTATACCCAGGTAGAGAGATTATCTCCAATCCACTGGGAGATAAAAGCTTTCTTTCCTTTTCCCCCCTCATGAGATGACTCATTGTTTGACTTTCTACAAAGTGTTGTGTAGAAATGAAAGCTTCACACTGTGCATAGGAACATAAAATTTGCCATATCTGATCAGATCTCTGGTACACAGCCTCTGGCAAGGGCTAATACCTTACGCTTCAGAGGAAGACGAACCTCCCTTCCTCATATTGCACCTGGCTGATTGTACGCTGCGTATGGGAAGAAATTTCCTTCCTGGCACACCATTCTCTGAGATCTGATTACCCTCCTCCTACCAATCACTAAAAGAAACCTGGGAGAGTTGTACCGCTCTGTTTTGTTTTGGTTTTTACTTCTTTAACAGATAGACAACCCTTTTTTCTGTTTTAGCAAGAGGTCACATGCAGTGAATTGCTTTCTGCTGCTATGCCAGATTCCCAGACAGCGGCTTTGGAAAGTCCCAGAGCCACAGCTGCATACAGAACTGAATCTCAGTCGGAAAAGGAATTGAGATCAAGCTTGAGAAAGGGTAAGAGCTGACCTAAGGAAGGGACGTCTGCATGGCAGCAGCAAGAATTTCCACTGGCTTTCAACTGCCCCTGTCGCACTGTACTATGGGCCACTCAGAAACAAGAAGTAGCATTTATTTATTTATGAAGGACTTAAACTCTCTTCCCCCTATTGAATTAGGGTCTGATTACTGAGGTCAGAGTTTTCTGTAGGACCTTTCTTTTTGAAGGGACTGGGGTGAGGTGTAGATCTGCTCAGAGACATGCAAACTGTCATCTAAAATGCCAGTGAGGTTCATCTTTTGCTGAACATGGGGTTATTCCTGCAGAAAACACACTCCAGACCCTGGGTTGCTGCTGGCAGCGTGTACATTGACTGCAGAAAGAGAAAGAACGCAGCCAGACCACAATGTGGGAAAGGGTTTAAACGACCATCTGAGGAGTGCTTGAAATGCTCATGCATGGTTTCTTTTGCCTCCCCTTTTGCTATGCCATGCAAGTAATAAATTGCCCAAAGGAGCACTGTAATCTGAAAGTCTAACTGGACTTTTGATGTGCACTTCACAAGTTGAGGCACAAAACAAAACAAAACATCACTGGGAAAATCGGGCTGAGACAGACAGAGCTATATGATAACTTCACATGATGTGCATGCTCCCCTGTAGATATCAACATAATAAATAACTCTCTCTCTCTTGTACAAGCATAGATGACCATTTCCATTGTCCTGGTGATAATTTATTTTTGCCCTCTGTTCACCTAGTACAAAAGCACCATGTCTAAAGAGAAGTTTAAACTGATTGGTGCCAGACCCAAACCAGACAAATAAGCTACACAGACTGGGACAAGCCAGGTGTGTTGCACTGGCAACTTTGAAACAGACCCAACACTTCACACTGCAAATCAGGTCTCTGCTGGGTTTCAGCAGCATCTCCAAAGCTTGCAAGAAAAACCCTGAAGTAGTGTGACCTTGGCTTCTAGTTACTGAGAATGAGGAAGCAGCTGTTCTAATTCAGTTTGGCTATCGCTAAAATGAGTGGGTGGATGCACCACATCTCTCCATCCATGGGGTGATACCATAATTAAATACTTTTATTGTGTTTGGAAGATATAAAGTGCCATAAAATAAATTAACTGTTTTTCCCTAGATGGATTGCTTCTTCTCTCATTTCCCTCTCTCCCTGCCCTGCTGCTTTCCTGGGAAGTTAGTTTTTCCAAAAAACCCTCTTTAGTTGCCTGCCTCCACTTCGTGCCCATTTGCTTTGTGAGGCTGAACCAGTTCAGTCACAGGTTTTCCTGAGGGTGCAGACCAGCGTTGCTGAAAGTGCTTCAGAAACCACCCTTCAAAAAATATGATTTATCATGTGCAGTACAGCATTTACTAAAATGGTATCCCACCTTCTTTGCCCTTTCTTAAAAAGAAGCAGTTGGTTTTGTGAAAGCAAGGGCATGAGAGGGCTGGCTTTGCAGCTGAAGGGGTTTTACAGCACAGCATACATAGCTATCAGTAGATACCGAAAATGCTTTCCTATACTCTCCATGAAAGAAAAACTAATCCCGCTTATAAATTTTTTCTTTTTTGGATGCTGTTTCTTATTTTCCCCTCTCCATCATCTCTTTTATTGTCATGCTCGCCACGGAGGAAAACGGGCTCTTTTTATCTCTCCAGTTTTATTCTCTGTGAAAGCTAACAGCATTGTCTAACAAAGATATTTACCAAGCAGCATAAAGTGAGAAAAACGAGGACAGAGTTTTGCCTGCTGACCCGTCTGTTGAAATCAGTGGGAAGGCTTTGCTGCTTTCAGTAGGTGTGGATCAGACACAGGGGATGCTGCCTCTCTCCTCATCTGCCCTCTTGGTGGCCAGCGTCTCCACGGACTTCAGAGGGTGAATTTTGGACCTGGCTCTGCTCCCATCTGTGCCACTGCTCCACTGTCTGGGAAGCATTCCCAACCTTGGTCTCCCTATTTTCATAGTGTAAAAATAAACAACAACAAAACCTTCTTGAACTCAATAGCTGAAAGCAGGTTAGACAAAGCCATGTTAACCATCAGAATCCAGCTCTGCAAGATCCCAGTGTATTCTCTATTCTGTCTCCTGTCAGCTTCCAAACACCACCTCCAGCAGAGTAAAATACAATAATTTATAGACACGTTTGTAATCTGACAGCTTCATATGCATTAAACAGGGAGCAAAATTCATGCTCACCTTTCTAATGCCACAGGCTGGCGCACTGGTGTCTTAATAGATTATCTACTTCTGTTGCTTATTTCTCACCTGAAGTCCCGTTTCTAACACCTGTTACACTAGCTACCTTAAAAATGGTGAGGGATCAATTCTCATGCTCCAGGGTACAAGCTGATAACCATCTGGACTGCATAAGAAACCCACTCCTGTTCCTTTCTATTCTTGCAGAAAAAGAACAATTACAATGAAGACAGGCTGATGGGTAATTTACACCTTCTTCTTCAAGGAGCCAGTAAAATTGCTCACGTATGTTCACGCACTCAGACGCATACACGCATGCGTGCACAAACATGCAGCAGAATGTATCTGTCTGCTGAAGAGGAGTTTAAACTGATAGCCTCTAAAGAATTCACTCCTTTTTCCACAGTGAGCCCCTCAGGAAATTTAAGCATGGTCAGGCTTTGAGGCTGGAAAACAGTGCTCTGCTCACCCAGTATAACCTTCTGCACATAAGACTACACAGCCAGCATTATTTGCACCTGACCACAAACTTCTGGTGGGGTTACAACTTTGTTTTTTGAAGAGATCAACCAACCCACCCTGAATCTTGCAAAGCACTCATATTCAGCATCTCCTTCTTTGCTTTGGAAGACGGGGTATGCGTTTTACAGTATGAGTTGCTGTGTATGTAACTGATACAGCTAAAACGTGCAGTATAACGTACCACAGGCTGTTTTCACCTTGACTCATTTTGGAACAACGAGACGACATAAATCCAATGCGAAGTGTGATGTACAGTACCACTGAGAGCTGCTGTTCCGTTTTAGTTTCGATATGAGGACGCAGCCACATGACAGCATGCATGATGGAAATGGCATTCACAGTAAGTTTCATCTAACCTTTTGTTCCACTTCGTCTGGGCACTCCATCCTTACGCCTGGCTGCTTGGCAGGCAGGATGACAAGGCGAGAATGGGGTAAAGACAGACCCCTCATTTACCCCTGCTTTCTGAAGGGCAGACAGAATGGTTCTCACTCCCACGCTGAAAACTACTTAGTGCAGTTGGGCAAACAGCAAAGGGGCCAGCGCAGGCAAATCAGCAGCTGGTTTCCGAGCACCCAGGGACAGATGCATCATCACTGCCAGCATCAGGCAGGCCAGCTCTGACTTGAGCCTTTAGTAGGAAAACGATGCTGGAGATTTCAGAAGACTTGAATGCCTGTGCACCAACTAGCTCTTTAGGAACTGCAGCTCTCTTTCTTGTTATTAATTAACAAAATTCTTCCAAGTTACCCATAAAGTATGATATGTGGTTCTACATATGATGGTGTATGTCAAGCAGGAGAGAGGCATGAGGTTGTGTTTTTCTCTTCATTTCTGTGTAAAGGCAACACGGTCTGGAGGAAAAACATAGAATTAGATTCAAGTCCTTCTCCCAGGCTCTGACACAGTAACTTTTTTAAAGTCCCCTCCTTCTGTCTCACTTCTTCGTTTGGAAAGCTAGACTACCAAAATGCAAAGAGGTGTCATGGGGCTTGGCCAGTTAACATCTGAAATGCTTGGAAAGTGCAAAATGCTGCACAGCTGCTTGGAACGACTACGGTTCAATACTCCCGCGGTGCTGCCTCTGCTCTCTGGGTCCCTGCTCAGAGGTACCGATTGTTGACGCAGACCAGGGCCCTGTTCTGACACAGCACTCGAATCTGACAGCACCAACCACGACGTGCTGCTCCCCGAGACGGGCTGCAGCACTGAGCTCAACAGCAATGTGCTGATCACACCGAAGGGGGTTTCAAATTAAAGCTGAAGCTGGGAGCTGAGGTCCTCCTGAGATGGGAATTTTGTGCTGTCTCTGCTGGAGCTGCTGCACCCATCTCTTACTGCAAGCGCCTTCCCCTCAGTGACCAGTGCTGGCAGGGTCCCACCCACACAGGGCACTCAGCAGCTCTTCAGGACTACCTCTGCCAAGGAAGGTAAAAGCAGGAAGATTAAGGACACTGCTTTCTCAGGAAACCTTTCTAATTCCTCAGAAGAGGGGAACAGGTGACAGAGAGCTGTGGCACGCTTAGCTCCCCCCACGCAGATGGACAGCTTAATTAAGTGCCTTCTGGGACTGCTCCTGGGTTGGCATACATGTGGAAGATGCAGCCCTACCACAGGATAAACCCTGTATTATTGGTGGTCCATGCACTTGCTGTTATGAGTAGAGGACAGAGGTCTGGTGCACGGTGATGTACCTGACCACTTGCTCCTTCCAGCAGGTGCCACTTGACCCAGGTCATGAAGAACCAGTGGCCATTCATTGCTGCTGGCCTACTGGGATTGCCTCATCCTACAGCAGAGAGCTGGCTCTGCAGTTTCTTGGCCCAAATATAAGCAAAGGTAGAAAAGGAGGAAAAGGTTAATCCTGGCTAATCCTCAGAGAAAATTATTTGGGAGGTGAGCACAAACTGGCACAAGGGAAATGGATAGCAGAGACAAAAATGCACCTTTACAGGTCTTGTTAAGGAAAAAATGATTGGATAGGGAACAGAGGAGTCGTGTGATGGGCAGAAAGAGACCCCAGTGAGGCTTGCATGTCCTTCAAAAAGGTATGAAACTGCCTGTAATCAGAATGACAAGGCTTTGGGAAGCTTCCCACACTGCTGGGAACAGAAGGTGAAACAGCTTTTTCAGTAGTAATCTGAAATAAAAGGCATAGGCTTCTGTCTCCTGCTGTCTTGTTGAACAGGGTATTAGAGGTAGAGCACAAGTGCAGGTAATGCTTTGTGCATGGTGTCTGCTTTGGGGCCTCTGTGTATGCAGACATCTACAGGAACAAACCTGGGTTTCTGCCGTGCTGACTCTGGGAGTGTGGTGCCCCGCGACACAGCCCTTCTCTTCTCACTGTCGGTAGAGACCCTGGGAAGTTGATACACCTGAATCCCTCAGGGCTTCAGGGTCATAAACGAAATAAAATTGCTCTTCTAATGCAGCCTTTGGAAAGCCCATAAGAAACATATTGATTGGAAAATGCTTGATTAGAATGATCAAGCTCTGAGCTCTCATACAGGGAAATAAATCTTTTAAATTCCCCACACCCAGTGCCAAGCTCAGCTTCCTGGAAGCAACTATGGCCCTTTCTGGAACTGAGGTGAAAATCCCGTGTTCCATCACCTCCCCAGACCTGCTGACATTACACATGGTTTGCATTTGCTGATCAAATGCACAAGCAGGACTCTAAATTAGCTTGCTGGGCTGAGATACGTCGCTGATTAATGATGGCAGATGAAGTCACTGGTACAAAAACCCCACAAAATGTGGAGTCTGTGTAAGCGGGAAAGGAGGAAGAAAAAGGCCACACTACAGAATTCAACATGAAGAACATATTCTGTCTCACTCTATAGCTGAACCCTTTCTTCACAGATACAGGTCAGTAAATGAAGTAAATCTCACACAAAATTACTCAGCTATGTCTAAGACCTCCTGCCCCAAGAGTCAGAAAAGTCCCTGAACACTGCAGATCGATTCCTGAAGTCCTTAGAGTTGTACCTGATGTCAGAATAAAGCCTCAAGTGCAACCCCAGTCATTTAACGCGGCCAGTTGTGCTACATTTCTTGTAACTGAAATCAGTATTTGATCCCTAGTAGCTGCCTCCGTCCTTTCTGTTTCCACCTGCATCATCTGGAGTTAGGTTGCAGAAAAAGTGGACCCTGGGATGTAGCCCTCTTTCCTCTGTGAGCTGCCCTGTTTTGGGATCAGTCACAGGAAATGTGATAATGCTGGAGCAGTTCACCTCCTGCTGACATGCAGTTTGAGGCCTGAAAAGAGAATTCACCCAGGACAGGGCAAACCAGTCTAGATAAATGGTGCTGGTATGTGTGCTGAAGTGTGCTGAAGTGGCCAGGGTTTGAAGTTCTGGAAGGGAAAAGCTACCAGCCAAAGAAGCAAGCAACCGCAGAGGTGATGAAAAGACCAGCCTGTTTTCTAGGCACTCATTCCGTGAGCCATGTCCAAGAGCTTTCAAGAACTGCGCAGAACGGCTCCAGCTTCCTTTCATGTTGTTTGCAAAACCTTCCTAGAAGCCTGACAAGAGTTCTCCTTCCAGGGCAGGGTGAAGGCTGGCTTTCTGCATCTGGGCACCACATTCAGAGAAGACCAGAGCGTAACAGTGAGTCAGTGAGCTGCAGACAGCACAATGCTGTTCGGCTGACTGCAGCCGTTCAGCCGCTACCACGGTTGCTGCACTCAGGAAAGAACTTGCTTGGTCCAAGGCGACCCCACTCTGCTCATGTTGTGCCCACAGGCAGAGAGGGCAGGTGATCATGGGATTCCTACCAGAGCAGCTTGTGCAACACAAGCAGCTGGCAGGGAGATGGGGAATGGGGAAATGTTGGTTTGGATCTGCTCCCAGTTATAGTCTTAATCCACTCCTGACTCCTTCTCAACCAATTTTTGGCCATTTTCCATGGAGCAGACATTGCTTTCCTACTGCTCCTTTCCAAAAGGAGCTGAAAGAAATGTCCTCTGTTGCTTTTTTCCTTGTATGTGCAAAAACTATATCCTAAACAAAACTAGCTGAGCCCTGACAATGGCATGGGTTAGCTAGCTCAACAGACCACGCTGCCAGAAGAAAGCAGTTTTGCAAGTAAAAGTTAAGGAGATTATAAAAACTTTAATTTTCTTCTCAGCAACTCTTGTTTCAAACTGATTTATCTTAATCCAGGTCAAAATTCAGGTCTAACGAACATTCTTTACAGTTTTCCTGTATTGGATATGGCCACTGCTGATACTACTATCAGTAATACTTGCATATTTACACTTACACAGTGCTTTTCAGCTGCAGACAGATTAGATTGTTATATCTGTTTTATAGATGTGAGGCACAAAGTCACTGGACACCTGCCCATACGTGAATCTGTTATAGCAGGGAGCGAATCCAGGAACTATATTTTCACTGTGAGGGTGGTCAGACACTGGAACAGGTTGCCCAGAGAGAAGTTGTGGATGCTCCTCCCTGGAAGTGTTTAAGGCCAGGCTGGATGAGGCTTTGAGCAACCTGGTCTAGTGGAAGGTGTCCCTGCTGATGGCAGGGGGGTTGGAACTGGATGACCTTTAAGGTCCCTTCCAACCCAAACCATTCTATGATTCTATATTCTGCTCCTCTTTACCACTGGACAAATGCAGAGGATCCTTAACACTTACTTTTCCTTCCCACTTCTTGTGTCACTTATTTGGTACATCCTGGCAACAGTAACTTTAAGGGGAAAAAAAATGAAACAGGATTAGAACGATCTGTCAGTACGTGCTGTTTCTTTCTTTTAACACAATATGGCCTTGATCCCTAGCTGGGGTGTTGAAGTTTTGTAAGTAATTAGAAATAAATTGATCTTGGTAGTCTTGACCTACATATGGTTTTACTTAAGTCTTTTGCCTGCTGCCTAATTGCTGAACAGTAGAGAGGGGTGTGGAGATTATTACCATGCTTAGAGTATGTGGTAGGAATGCTAGTGATGGAACTGAAAGCTCCAGTTCTAGGTACCTGATCAACGCTCCAGAAAAGACTTGAAAAACTAAAGAAATAGTTGCTAGCTGAAATGAATGCAGCTGCTAAAATTGAGATGGTCCCTTTCAGCAATTTATCACTTTAATCTATCATCAGCTAGGTCACCTTGATCTTCCAGTGGCTGCAAACTTAGAGGTGATTCTACCATTTTGGAAGACAGAAGTTAGGGAAGTCCTTTTTGTACAGCTAAATCAAGTGGCAAGTTTTGAAATCTCAGTTTCACATGCTGACAAAACACTACCACCAACATAGCAAGACACTGTAATCCTCCTGTATTAAGAAGCTGCTTTCTTCTCAGAAGGAGATTTTGTTCTCAGAGGCTCACATCCTGAAGAAGCTGGGTCCCTTTTCCTTGAGGAATTTTGGCTTTGTTTCCTAACTGAACTGTGACTGTGAGAGCTGGGGAGGGGAGAGCATGTACACAAAAAGCATGTTTTCCAGGCTGTTTCCAGGGAACGTGAGGCCAGCTCCACCACAGAACAGCCTACGCCGTTACAGCAAGATGTCATCTGTTGGCTTCTTCAGTGCTGGGGCTTCAAGCCTTGTGAGCTGCAGCTGCAGCTGCACTTGTGCTGCTACTGTAAAAGCAGATTTTGGCAGCACGGCCAGGCCCATGGCTTAATTTGCCTATAATCATTAAGCACATCAGTGTAGAGAAAATTTTACCACCAGCATGTGGTAAAAGCATGTCATACTTCTACTCCAACTGATTTCACTTTTGGACCTCTGTCTCTTGCTTATGCAGGCGTTCTCCTTCAGACTCCTAATCCAGGAGGGCGATAAAAGCCTGCTTCAGTCCACCAGCATCTGAGTTCTTCTGTGCTTTATGCAAAGACCTGCCTTCAGGTGACATTAAATATTAAATAACTGGGGGAAATGGTGCAAATTGCAGCCCTGGAGACTGCACGCTGTGCTCAGTTTTGAACCACATCTTGGGCTTTAGACGTAAAAGCCCGCTCTTAGCATGCTGCAGACATTTCCCGCTCCCAAGATGCTGCAAACCAGAGTTCCAACATGCTTAAAAACTCCAGATTTAGCTTCATTTCTCAATGGTTTCTTAATGAACCAAATCCCTGCAGCTCTTACAAACTGTCAGTCATTTCTCCAAGAAGACACTACTGTCCTAGAGAAAGGTCAAGTGCTTAAAACAACAGCTCTAGATGCCAGGGGTCCTTTTCCACATCCAGGAGGACGAAGAAGCCACTGAGATGGACTCCAAACTGCACTACAACACATTACCCATACAGGAGAAGTAACTGCAATGCATTTGCATGGGACCCTTTACCTCTACCCTTCCACTGTAACTTGTGCACGGTGTATGGAAAGGCTTCTTGTACTAAGGTACTTGTGCTTGAAATACATTGATAATGAGAACAAATTAAGTGTGTGCTCTTTGATTATCAGATGATAAATTAACATGATTATTTTCACTGCAGCTTGAGAATTGCTTCCTCTCGCGGGTTTAACTCCTGCTTGCTCTGAAGCTAGTCAGCACAGCCACTAACTTCTTGTATTAGGCCCCCCCAAAAAACTGGCT